ATTATAAAGTCAGTGGAAAAATCTAAGGCACTCAACATTAAACAAAACTAACCAGAATTTATACAAGATGCTGCCATCTTGACAGGATGCTGAGGAGAAAATACAGTAACACAGTTCTTATTTAAAATCACAGAACCTTAGTGGGATCCAACGCAGCTGTAGATGTCGTTCATCAGGCTCTCCTCCTAAAAATCTGCACAGGCAGAGTGTGAGAAGTATGTTTTAATTGGTATTTTTCGCATTGAATACTTTGTTTCCTAACTGCTTTTCCCTGGTTGCTACTTCAGAAAGGACCAACACCAACAGCGACTTTCTTGCACATAGGCAAAAACTCAACAGGGTCACTGCTGAGTGCTCAGCTCTCCTCATTTATTTCCCATATAACTTATCTCCAGAAAATCCTGATGGCAGCAGCTTAATATACACTCAACTTTAGGGTAACATACACTAAAGGACATTTCTCCAAGTAATAGCGGAAAAAGACAGCCAAGAAAAACAGATCTAAGGGTATTTGAGATTGCTAAATTACATAAACGTATCTTGTGCAATACACATACAAACATTGAGGCGTAGCCTACAACATTATGTAGGGTGAGCCTCACCTCTGTGCCAGGAAAGATTATAAAACAAATCCTCGTGGACTCTACGTTAAGGCACATGGAAGGCAGGGAGGTAGTATGAGACAACCAGCATGGCTTCACCAAGGGTAGGTCCTGCCTGACAAAACTTGTGGTCTTCTATGATGGTGTAATCGCATCAATGGACAAGAGAAGAGACATTGATGTCATCTATCTGGACTTCAGTAAGGCCTTTGACACAGTCCTCCCATAACATCCCTCTCTCCAAAATGTAAAGATATGGATTTGATTGGTGGACTGTTTGGTGGACAAAGAACTGGTTGTGAGATTGTACCCAGAGAGTGGTGGTCAATGGCTCAATGTTCAGATAGAGATCAGCTACAAGTGGTGTCCTTCAAGGGTCAGTACTGGAACCAATGCTGCTTAATATTATCATCAATGATATCGACACTGGGACCGAGTGCACCCTCAGCACATTTGTGGATGACACCAAGCTATGTGGTGTGGTAGACATGTCTAAGGGATGGGATGCCATCCAGAGGGACCTAGACAGACTCAAGCAGTGGGCCCATGAGGCTCAACAAATCCAAGTGCAAGATCTTGCACCTTGGTCATGGTAACACTCAGCATCAGTCCAAGGTGGGAGATGTAAGGATAGAGCACAGCCCTGTCCAAAAGGACTTGGGGTCCTGGTGGATGGCAAGTTGGACATGAGCCAGCAATGTGCCTTTGCAGCCCAGAATGCCAACCGTGTCCTGGGCTGCATCCAAAGAAGTGTGGCCAGCAAGGAGAGGGATGTGATTCTGCTCCTCTGCCCTGCGTTGGTGAGACCTCAGCTGGAGCACTGCGTCCAGATGGGGAGTCCTCAGTACAGGAGAGACATGGAGCTGTTGGACTGCATCCAGAGGAGGGCAACAAAAATGATCCAAGGGATGGAACACCTCCCTGTGAGGACAGGCTGAGAGAGCTGGGGCTGTTCAGCCTTGAGAAGAGAAGACTATGGGGAGAGCTGAGAGTGGCCTTTCTGTATCTAAAGTGGGGGTCTAAGAAGAAAGGGGACAAACTTTAGCAGGGTCTGTTGTGATAGGACAAAGGGAAATTGTTTCAATTGAAAAGAAGGAAAATTTAGACTGGTATAAGGAGGAAGTTTTTTATGCTAACAGTGGTGAGGCACTGGCACAGGTTGCCCAGAGAGGTTGTGGATGCCCTGTCTGTGGAGACATTCAAGGTCAGGCTGGGCAGGGCACTGAGCAAATTTGCTCAGTAGCTATAGGTGTCCCTGTTCATTGCAGGGGAGTTGGACCAGGTGAGTTTTAAGTGTCTCTTCCAACTCAAACAATTCTATAACTCTACAATAAGCATCAGTTTCACTGATATGAATAAACTCTTAACTGAAGAGTCATGGAGATTTGGGGCTGGGCCAATGGAGAAATGGGGGCAGCCACCCCTGGATGCTCAGCTTGTGTGTTCAGAAACATCTTTCTTATGCATGAAATGCTTCCAGTAACTGTAACAACAGAAAATGGAGGTGGAGGAAAAAAAAAAAAAACCAGCATTAAAAGCAATGCATTGCTTGTGCTGTAAGCTTTCCTCAACACAAAGAATCAGGTCAGGTCACACAGCATGTTGCTCATCAATGTTAATGATTCTCCACAACTGTGCTTCATCCCAAGGCACCCACAGGTCACAGCAGCTCTATTTGGAAACAAGCTCAGAAGGATTTTAGCTGCTGATCCCTGAGGGGCACAGCGCACACACCTTACAGTCTTGCAGAGTTAGGCATTAGGCTTACCCAAACACTTCGAGCTGAGATGCACTCATCCTCAGGCAGAGCCATACTCACAAGCAGTGTGCCCAGCACTGGCTAAAGTCATGACACAGCTGCTCAGGGCTTGTGTGCATGTGTGCCATTAGCTGTGGCCTTCACTTGCTCATCCCTTCCTTCTGCAGGGCATCCCATCTGCTTTCAACTCTTGGTTCATCCCTTGGCTGCTCCTTTGCCTTCCAGAGAAGCATTCTATGGCAGGCTTAACCTAAGGGAAAGGAAATGCTGCTGTGGGGCACCTATCAAGCAATGATTGACTGCTAAGGGCTCTTCAGCTCTGGCAGAACTTCGCAGAACCTGAACGTTCAGAGATGCATGCTAACTTCTACAAAAACACTGGATATCAACACCGTTGGCCTCTCCACCCATTCAAGTCTCTAGGCATTTTTCTTTTCCATCTCTCCAACTGCAGCTATTGACAAATTGTGTCCAGTCTGTTCTTTCCCATTAGTGAGCCTTCACACTCCACTGAGTCACCCCGACCTCTTTCACAGCACACCACCAGGTCTAAAGGCAGTGAGGACACCCAGTAAGCCCACAGAGCTTTTCCTTTGCAGGTCAAAGTACTTCATGCAAAATATTTCAGAAGATAACAAGGAAAACTGAAGCAGACTTTGGAGTACGTCAAAACTGACAAACTTTCTAATAGCCTGAGTGCAGAGCAACTGCATGGAATTGGGATTTCCTAACATTTTTTTAAAGGAGTGCTATGTGCTTACAGATAGCACATTTACTCTGCAAGAAAAATCAAGCTTTGTTTAAAAAATAAAGCCTGCTCTAAAGCATGCCACTGGGGTACACCTGATTAGGATCCCTTTGTGCTAGGAGAAATAAAAGGTCACTATTCAAAGATTTGTTGCTGAAAGGGTTTCAATGAAATCTCAGAAATGTAAGGAGGAAAATATATTTCAGTCTCAAATGCTAAGGAAATAAAACTCAGTATTGCATCAACTTTCCTCCTTACTTGCATTTTTAAAGACTTCTTGGCTTATCAGCGGGCAACAGCATCTGACTGCATTCATCTCTCATAAAGAAAATATCAAGAGAAGCAGTCCCTAGGACACTGCAAAAGAACAGACATGCATGGCTTTGGAGCACATCAAGCAATAGACCCGAGATGTTTGCAGAGGAGGACCCAACAAAACAAATACAACATAGACCAAGAATGTCATGTCCCTGCCATGACATCCTCCTGCTGGAATTTGGTTAGCAGATGGATGAGCAGCAGTGAAAGAGGAAGAGGAATGCAGTCAGTGGGATGCACAGAGGAGCTGCAGGAGGCCCTAGAAAAGAGCTGCTAGAGATGCCAGCATCAGGCTGAGACATGGAGACCCACAGGTTTGCTCTTGCTGTGGCACCTTCAGCCCCTTCCTCCTCATGCTTCAAGGCCTCAGGTAGGAGCCAAGATGGGACAGGGTGCTCAGTAGCACATATCAGGGCCAGCTCTTACTCCCCATTGTGGGAAATGCCAGGCCCAGCTTACCATCATGCCTTTCCCCAGTGCTTTCCCAAAGGCTGTAAGTGGGACCATATCCCAACCCAACAGCACCATGTGCCACATTGCAGTAGGATGCAGCTCCCAAATACCACCTTGGCTGTGAGCTACCTGGCTCTCCCTAGGCAGGAACATCTGTACAACATCTCTTCCTTCTGGGTTTCCTGGCAGCTCCCTGCTGCAGGGTGAATACAAATGCACTAGAAATGCAGCAACACCTCCATTCAGGTGTGGCACCCCGGGCATTTGACCAAAGAACTCACTGTTCATCACAACCAGAGCTTAGGAATCACACAATGCCCCTCAAAAACAAACCATCACTGTACAGAAGACACTTCAGCCTCCAAGTTATAATTCGTATCCATAACATTGAGCACTTCAGATGGCAATTTCTCATCATTCCTTGAAAAGAACAGTGTGCACTGTCAGTGTTAGGTCAGTGCATTTAAGTGCTCCAAATACAGTGAAAGCACTTCACACATGCAGCTGTCCATTGCAAGACTGAAATTACAGTATTTCTTAGTCCTAGCTCCTAGTCCATGTGGGATACCCCTGTGGACACAGCACTGCATCTTTATTTCATATAGCTGGACTGTAGTAAGAACTACTTCACCTTCCATTAGCAGCAAGGCAGCTCCTGACAGAATTGAGATCTTTAATCGGAACAGGCAACATCACTCTTGATACTTCACAGCATTTATCCAAATAGACTATTTCCAAGGCAACAGGTCCCCTACGAAAAGGAATCAAAGAAATCAGACCCTGGAAGTGAATCACCGGCTCTGCACTGATGTGAACAATGCTTCATTCTTATAAATGCACTTTTAAGTGAAGCTAATATGAAAATCCATATGAAATCTTGCAGCATAAGAAAAAGTTGTGGCCTCTGGGACCTAGAATAAGGACAACACTGCAATTTTGAGCAGACATCAGCTCAAGTTTTGCATCACAGCAGAATGGCTGATATTCTCAAGCTATATCTCAGCAATGCCTTCAACATTAACATAACTAAACTTTGAGTGCAAAATTCATTAGCATCTACACACTCAGGAGATCACAGATATAGAAAGAGACTGAGGAGAACAAATTATGACTCAAAGGCTAATTCTGAGTATCTTTAATGAACTATACAGATACCAACACCTGGATTTTACAGTCTCAGTTGAAGTATATTGTATTATATATCATACAGCCAGGATGCCATCTGGTAGATGAACACACATCTTCTGCCATGTGATGAAGCAGCAACTGACCCCTGAAGGCTCTCACTGATAACTTTTCAAAAAGAATGTGCCTGTTGGCTAATTGCAACATGAAAGAGTTCTTGTTGAATGAAGCAGATCACACTCCCTAGCATTGCTCACAGGCCTTTCAAATCATCTTCACAGACAGACTGGGATCATATTGCAACAGAAGAATCTTCCAATAGCATAAAGTTGACTGACACTTTTCACTTTTACTTTTCAGGGTGTAAAACCTATTTCTGCACTCCTTCCTCCAAAGAGAAGCATTGAATTGAAGCCAGGCAGACGTCTAACCACATTAAATGGAAACCCTTCACAGGCAGCAAGAATTATGCAATAGCCCCTTTCCCACAGCCAGTTACGCTGTGCTAGTTACATTAACTAACTGAATTTTAAAAAAAAGAAAAAAAATATGTCAATTTTAATCAGTGCACTTTCACCTGAAGATGCAAGCCTGAACACAGTAGGCAAAAGGAAAGTCCTGCTTCAGGGAAAACCACCAGTAATCACACGTCGTGCAGCAGAGATCTCTAGGACTGAAATGCTGACATTTTTATGCTCTCAGAAGCTTAGACATACAGTACATAAAATAGCTGCTGCAAGAGGGACATTGCTACAGTGGGCTGCCTGAAAACTTGAATTGGAGTTTAAACAAATCTTCTTCCATTAATCCTTTTCCATTTAAAAACAGTCTACAGCCCAATCAGTTCCTTCCAGCAAGGCAAAAGTTACAAGCCAACAACAAACAGTGTCATAGTGATGATTCTTCTGTTTTGATCTTTTTGGTTTGTCCATTAGCATCATGTTGCAGATTCTGCCTTTTCTTTTTCTGCTTCTGTATCCTTTCCTCTTTCCTCTGTAGGTAGACAGCCATGCTATCAAACGAAGCCTTGTAGAGACTGCTGTAGTGGCTCTCTGCACCAACAAACCCTGCAAGTGGGCAAAACAGGAACACAAGACATGTGTTAATTCCCTTAGCAGTCTCACCAATTATTTCCTGAACTGGAGTTTCAGACAATGGAATTTCAACTCATTTACTGTAGTCCTATCCACTTAATTAAATACAGCATCAGCACTGTTTGTGGGAGTATCATCTGTTCTGCATTCACAAAGCCAAGTGCAACCAAGCTAAAAAAATTAATACTCAGGCAGGCACCTGGCTCCCAAGCAAGGAAAGCACACAGCTCTCTTTACACACTGGACACTTGCACAACTTCAAGGCTCTCGCTTTTATATTACTGCTGTAGCAACCTATTATCAGGCAGCCCACTGGCATTCTTCCCCAGAGCTTAAACACTGCAAAGGGCATAAATTACTACGCAACTGTCCTTAGTTGACTTGTTTCCTAGAGTTTCTTAGATTAAGCCCAGAGATGCAGGCATCAAACAGTCATTTCTTCCAGTACTATGCATCTCTAAGCATTCATCCGAAGTGATTTTGTTACAATTCTGTGAATCCAGCATAATAGTCATCATAGCATCTCCAGGACTGTAAGTTTAGAGGTGTTTAAACAGGTAACTACCATGCAAAAGATAGCAATCAGATTATTATTGCAGAGAATTCACCATGGCACCAGCTGGTTAGGTTCACATTTCTGAAAACTTCCAGAGGATCCATCTGACAGAGCTAAATATCACTGGTTCCCCTTTGTACCCTTACCTTTTTTTAACTTCCAGAAAATCACTAGCATGAAAATCCAGTTTTGCAACGGTTTGTTCCTGAAGCAAGTGTGCTTCCCCACAGTAATGTACACACACATACTGCTGCTTTTTGGTACACAGACACAGCAACATTGCCTCGCTAGTAGTTGGCAAAGTACATGGTTTTGCTTTCAAGGGTCTTGCACCCACACAGAAACCAATTGAGCAGCCTTTGTCCCTGGGACAAACTGTATGCTGTCATTCTGAATATCTGTTCTGCACTCTGCTTGGTCAGTCAGCACAAAATCTTGCTCAACCTTCTTTCTGGGATCAATTCTAACATAATTTCGAACTGTTCAGCATCTGCTTCAACACTGACCTACACATCTTAAAGCCTGAAGAATCAGCGAAGAGCTGAAAGATGTTTCTAAAAGGCAAAAAGGAGGCTATGCAGACATTTGAAAAACTGGTTTAAGCAATATAATGATCACCTTTTCCAAGAGAAGTAGCTGCCTTTTCAAGCACTAATAATGGACTGGAGTAAGTGCTTATGAAGCGAGCCTTCCCTTACTAATTAAGCATAATAGATCCTGTCTAGGAGTAGTCCTCCTTTCCCAGCCACAGATGCAACAGGCTATCATGTATCACAGTAATTTGCTACACTGGAAAATTATGCTCAGAATCTCTTCCCCGGCATGCTCTTATTAGTTCCCTATTATTCATTTTCACTCAGTCCTTGTACTTTTAATAATCTGTCTGGCTGTAACTATCAAGTCTGCAACATCTGCATGCAAACACCCCCACTTCTAAAAGGGCACTTGACCTCCTTTGAGATTTCGAAAGTCGAGCACAACCACCTTAATGGCAGCCACTATCTATTCTCTTACTATCTCCACCATACTTTCACATTAAGGTAACAGACAAGAGAAAAAAACATGTAGTTCAGTATCAGAGCAGTAAGAGAGATTGCAGCAGATCTGTGATACGGTGTTTATATACAGCCATATGCTAAGGTATCTGTGTAAAACAGATTCCTGCACTATTTTTAAGAACAGTAACTTGAATACCATTCATTATCAACACTAATTTCCATACCAGACAGAAAGAAGAAGCTGAAAAGGGAAAGCTGAGAGATTAAGTAACTTTAAGAGACCTGATCAGAACTCTGATTTTGCTCTTAAAACTTTAGCTCTAAAATTACAGTTCCTAGGCCAAATTTCTCACCTTCAAATGTTGTCCAGTTGTCAAGAAGATATTTAGACATCCTCTGCAATTCTTCATCATCGGTTACAGACTGGAAAAAGGAAGAACACTGCATGATATTTCATGCGTAAACAAGGAGTCTGGTGTTTGACAGCAAACTGAAAAATGCAACAGCTCACAGATGAGCACAGCAAAAGGACAGTGAGTATTTTTAAACTAAACAAGTGCAGCACCCAGAGAGCACAATAAATGCTTTAAAGTACTGTGTGCCATAGCTGACAAACATTCTCTTTGATGCTACTGCACCAGATGTTAGCTTTACCAGAGAAGAGACTGGTAACAAGCTCTCAGTGGCTTTGCGTTATACAGACATAAGAGAAGTAGAATGTGTGACATCTAAGACTTCTACTCAGTCTCAAAACTGAAAAAGAGAAGCATATCAGTTGTTAGTTTTCATGGAACATAGTTCACCCTGGTTTTGTTATGAGGTCAAGACAAAACATCCACAGTATTAGCATAACATCAGTATCTACCTTCCACTGTCCATCACATGGTCTGTACAATTGAAGAGGGGCTTCACTGTCTTCCTGTAGAATCCAGATTTCTCCTGTTTCCTCAAATGCAATGTCCCAACATTTATGCTTCAAAGAAATTTGCTCTCTGTAAACTAGCTGCTGGGCAACGGCATCAAGCTGAAAGATGTAGACTGTGGGAATACTTTTGAGAGGAAAAACTTAATTACCATTATTACCAAATCCACCTACTGCCATCATTTCCCAGCAAATGACAAACACCCACTCTAAATCCAAACAAAGCCAAAGCAAATCATTAGGAATTACAAAAAATACCCTAGCACTTCAGGTTTGCTTACAGGGTCTGAGGCAGAAGCTGCAGACATGTAATATGTCAAATGGTCTTCCAAATGTCGTATGAAAGAAAAAGCAGCCACACTGCCTTTTCCTTAAAAGAAAAAGGTAGTAAAGAAAATTACTAAGGATTTACATGGGGAGCATTTCATCACAGTACAACTGGTCTAAAGGACTTCAAATGAAAGAGTATATATCTGAGCACTGGTAAAAATAAAAAAGGAAAACAATTACACGCCAGGGAAATGAAGGAGGAATGAGAGGGATAGGAAACCACGAAATGGCTGAAGAACAGGTTTGTAGCACTGCACCGGCAAGGAACTCATCTCCATCTTTCCTGATAGCCCTCCTACTTTCATGTACTGTGCTCCCTAACTTCTCTGGACATTTCCACTCTCTCTGGCCTACAAGGCCTACACAGCAATACTGCTTAGAAATGCTGGGCTGTGGAGGTGTAAAAAAGAAACCTTGACAAAGAGCACGGCGTGGCTCCCGGCTTATCTAGCACAGACACTTCAGCTGCCGACACAAAGCCTGGCAGTACATGCCAGATGGTCCTTTGGCAAAGACCAAGTTCACCAAGGGGACAGATTGCTGACTGTATGGACAGCTTTGGCATCTCTCCCTTTCCTGTTGGCATGCTTTTGTCAGCAAGAACAGTTTTCCCAGCAGACATTAGGTGCTGAAGAAAGAGAAGGGAAGACTGTCCATCTCTGCAAGGTATCTCCCTGCCAGGTGGACTAGAAGGTTCCTTCAGCTCCAGAGTGCTCACACAGACATATACATTTGATCCCAAAGTCAACACATTCTCTTGGCAGTTTTAAACTGAAGTAACATGGTGATTTTGAATAGAATGTCAAAATTAATTTACAGGAGCAGAACACAGGACAGGAAATTTGGGTACTCGGTACTACAGCACCCTGTACAAAACACCAGGGCCAGGCAGTGCCATCGTGCCCAAGATTTGCATCCTCCTGTGAGGGAAACGCATCACAAATTCTGCAAAAGCTGCCTAGGTCAGGTAGCCTTTACACTCAACTCTGTATTCAAACCATGTACAAAAAGGACTTTCAGTCTTCCCCCATGGGAAGGGGGCATCCCTGTGACACTCAGATCAAAAGTACCAAGTACTTCAGTTTGCTAGGAAATGGCAGCAGCTGTTCTCTCCTTTAGAGGAGCTGTGGTGACTTTAGCCATTATTCCCTTTACTCTTACCAGTCACACAGTATGGCAACATAACTTCCTTGACAGCAGTAGGCTATTCTTGAGACAATATATTTCTATGAGAAAAAGAAAAGGAAACATTCTCGTAAATTGAGACTATTTCATAGGCAGAAAATTCACTTTCAACTTTGTGTCTTTTAAAAATTCAGCAGATGTCTTAATTTACAGCAAGCTAAGCAACGTAATTAAACTGCAGTCAAATATATTTCGCATCAGTGTTTGCTGTTTTATGAGGCTTTCCACACTTCTCCCTTTGCAGCCATCTTAACAGAGATAAAATATAACAGTTTTAATGAACTACTCTCAATAAACTAACTATGAGATAACACAATGCAGGAAAGTACACCCTTAAAAATTCTTTCCTGTAATGCTAAGCTGCTATTACATTTGTTATAAAAAGAAGACAGTGATGCATAGCCAGTATTCCTGCTGGTTGCCCCTATTTTCAACCTGCATGTGAGTGAAGTCATACCGCCCAACATGAAATACGTTCTGAAGAACAAGGCAAGACTATCTCAGGCCATTTTCCTAGTTTTAAAGAAGAAAAGCTAACTATACTGTATTTAGAAATCATACAGTTCCATCTGAGAACCTGGGAGAAAATCAGGGCAATATCTTTGAAAGATAAACCATATCACTTGAAATATATAACAGCTGATTTGAGTGTCCCCAAGTGGGAACTAACAACTGGAGATGAGCATAAAATCTGCAAGAAGATGCCCCAGGGTGCTCTTTCAAAAGTATCTTTCATGCGGCATAAAAGATGAGACTGCAAAAGCAAAAAGGCTGGTTCTCAAGGATATTTTTAAGTTGTGATAACATTTCTGATTAATAAAGCCTTCTTACTAGAGTAGTAGTCAGTTGCTCCCTTTAGGGCAGGGAAAATGTATCTTCTTGTCATTTTGCTGGCAGAATTCAGATGTGTCCTCAAATTCCCCTTCATTTTACTCCCACTCATCCCTCACCTCTCCCTAACACAACACTGCTCACAAAACAGAGCCTCTAGTCCACCAACTTCATTTGAATATTACTGTTTGAGTCAGCAATTGATGTACAGGTGTTGTTAGGGAACCTACCCCACAGTTTTGCAATCAACTGAAGGAAGCAAAACAAGCCCTTATAGCTTCCAAGCATTCTAGTCAACAAGTTTAATACAAGAAGCTAATCTTTTTCTGAACAGTACATGACAACTGCTAGAAGATGAACTAACCACAGGAAGGAAAATTAATTAGCAGTGTAATTATAGCTGAAAATCACGGTGCTTCTCCAGCGCAAGAGACAAAAAATCTCTTATGATACAATCTCTTAGAGGAGGTGAGAGAAAGAAAGAACAACAGCATGCAGCACTAGCAGCACATGCTTCTCACTTTTTCACTCCTTTGGTTGGGCAGAAGAGGAAACACTTTCTAAAATCCTTTATCAAAAGGATGGGATGTATCAGAGCTCTTGTAAACAGATGGCATTAATCTCTTGCTCCACTGCAGAAATACGAAGTTGTTATTTCATATTTCACAGGGGGACCTCAGGCCCCTGTATAACACAGATATAACATAAGCCTGCTATTTCAAATACTTACTAGGATGAAGATGAGTGGGTAGCTACAACGAACATTTTAGATGTAGTTATTGCAGGGAGGAATCACTTATACCATAACTTCAGAGTAGAATTGACAATTCCTTTATAAACCACCAGTGGGTTTTCTAGACATTCAAGGAAATAATCCAAGATGATATTTATCTCTAATAACAAAGCTTCTCTCTGTCTCATGCCAGCTTTCACAGTAAGTGCAGTGATGGAAGCGCCCACCTACACAGTCCACGCTTTGTCAGAGAGACAAAGGGTTCTGTGAACATTACACATGCAGAAGCTCTCTCCCACTCCTCACCAGGGAGACAGGAGGAGACTTTGATTTAAACCAAATGCTACTCACAGCTGGACAAAGACATGGAAACGCATCTTCTTAGCAAGCTCCTTCCTTTCCATGTTTCTTTAATGGGGAAGTTCACAATCAGTGAATTGAATGCAAAGCCCAGAACAGTATCTTGTTCAAGGACAAGCCTATGAAATCAGTTAACTTAGAGAATAGCTGTGTGAACAGCCTGTGATAAACAGATGTTCACTTGATACTCTCTTCACTTACTCAGCACTTGTGTGCCAGTGTTATCAGCTTGCCAACACCTTAAAATTAACTCCTGATGTTGTCTGTGAGAAGGGGGAAGCTCAATGGAAACTTAATGTACTGGAGCACTGGGGTGGAGTTGTGCAATTCATGTTCTGGACTTTAAACAAGCTTCTGTTGTCAAGAAGATGAGATGGGGTGAAAGCTCTAAATCAGGAGAATATTTATATAGCACCATGGAATTAGAGAATTGCTTCCATTCTAGTGGGAAAATTGAACTAGGAATTTGCAATCTATCAACTGAAACCAGCACTACACTGCTCAGAAACACTCCTACATACCCAAAACAAACAAATTCATCATCTGCCAAGGAAAATAAGCCCACATCTCTGCACTCATGTGGCCCACCACTACTTGCAATTCCATTATCACTATGCTTCAAATTATATTTTGAGCTTCAGTTAATTCATAGCGGGTAACAGTGGCAAAAATGAAATGTAACACGAAAGAAAGGAAAAAACAATTATAACCCCACCTTATCTTCGGTTGCCAGAGTCATTAGCAGACTGAGTGGCACCTTTAAAGCACTAACTCAAGACCCTGTTACCTTAAATTCCAACTATAAATGTCGCACTTGGTTTGAAGATAATCTTTGCCCTTTTGTACAGCTGGATGCACATCATGACTAAATACCACTGCTGGACATCAATTTCTCTGCCATTTCCAGCCCTACAATGCCATCAAAACACTCCTCTGGTCCGGCTGGCCATCAAGACAAAAACAATCTCTTAAAAAAAAATTAATGCATTAATGAATGGTCACCACACAGGCTTAAAACAGTAGTGTTGGTCTGCCAGAAGTATGCAGTGAAATCTGTGTAGCAATACAGCACAGTTAATTTATATGCCAGCTAAATAATAAGCCAGTCTAAGCAACAAGTCACACAGAAGTAATAATATAGCTCCATTCACAGCAAGTTGCTTACTAGATTCCAATGACCCAATAAATCTAGCAGGCAAAGTATTGTAAAATAAAGCCATTCTCAAATAAATACCCTGCAACTTTACTGAAGACATAGATTCAACAGTTATAAAACAATGTTGTTTCAACAATGCACTCTCTTTTGACAAGTGTAAAACACCCAGATTACACAAGCATACCAACTGGGTGGATTTGTGATCTAATTTATTGAGTCAATTTTTCACTTACGGAAAAAAAGTCAATAGCGACTTCGAAAATCCAGATTTCAAGCACTAAGGCAGAAACAATTTGAAAGACTTTGTGTATCTGGACAGAAGTTGGTTTAAAATTTCAACTATTTTTAAGTTCAAGAGCAGGTTACATGGTCCAAATAGTTGTTACGAACTCCTGCTCAGAGGACATCAAGGGCAAAAACAAGTGTTTCAGTTTCTGAGGTTAGAATCCTGTGATGCAAGTGGGCTGCCCTCAGAGCTTCGTTAAAGACAGAAATGAAAGTTGCATGTTACTATTCCTAAAAAACAGACAAACAAACGAAACCAAACACCCACTGATGTCTTCTGCGTAGAAAAAAAACGAGCTGTCAGGTCTGTCCCTAGGAGTATTGTCCCTCCATGTGCAGTCCTCTCAGTTCATTACAGGGATTCTGACTAACAAGATCAGGTCAGTTCCCCATTGGCACCCTGAGCACGTATATATCATACTACTCACGTACAGACTGCAGTATAAGCATTGCTTCTGGGATATTCAGTTTCAACAAGCAACAAGCAATACATTTTCGTTTTGGACACTGCCCAGTTTCAGAACAATCAAAAAAAAAAAAAAAGAAATCCTAGCAGTTTGATTCCACGGGGCAACACTATTTCAGATAACTGGTTTCAAATATTACAAAGCCTCTTCACTCAAAAAATTTAAAGTGCTGTTCAAGTTGCAATTTAAGTATGTTACAAATGGGTCAATTTTCTTAAGGGACTAAGACACCAGTGTTTTCTGAAAAAAATAGTAAGTGAAGGCTTATTTTGGTTTGCAGAACATGTATTCTGCAAGAACTAAGAACAGCTACTTTTAGTCATTGCTTAGCATTTTTAGAAATTCATGTAACTCATGTAAGACAAAAACGAATTTCAGGGACTTTTTTCCTTCCCTTAAATTTCAGGCTATTTAACAGTTTCTAGGATTTATGACAAACACTTCTGGGAGTCATAAGGATCCCACAGGACAGCAAAAGCATTGACACAGCCATACCTGGTCCATTTTGGTTGTCTCAGACCCACAGATGCTGCTTAGATGACAGCAGTACACCTCTTCCCCAGTTTCATATTTCCAAAGTCTTAGAGTGCAATCCTGGATAGATTGAAGTGAATACAAGTTGATGACTAACAGTTCCTCAGGCAAAGAGTGGCCACTTGTGGCCTACAGCTAAACTCTATTTCCCTGAAGAGATTCCCACAGAAGTTCCTAAGTAGTTACTTAGCTAAGACTTCAAATTGCAGATAAGGCATTTTAATTAACATAATTCACCCCCTTTCTCCATAATTCTAAATTATTCAGTCCTGATGACTGTAATTCTCCCTTTGAAGTGGAAATTGGGTAGCTCTAAGACTCTTGTCATCACCAAAATTCTCATTTGATTCAGTAACCTCCTGGAGAAAAACTGAACACCTCTCTTCAGTGACTGTTTTTCCAGAGAATTTGCAAAGAATGAAATACAGCCACACAACACTGACAGTGGAGCTGCTTAAAAAGAGGAGCAAGAGACAGGAGTCTTAGGGAAGCAAGAGCAGGAGTTGAACATTAATGCTAAGAATTGCTACAATCTTCAAAATTGTTTCTTACCTATTCAGTTTTGGTAGTTTCAGATACCAATAATACTGTTTCCCTTAATTCAGATTGCTGTCTGGTGTGACAAAAGAATCCCATCAATTTAAGAAAAGGAACGGCAGGGAGTTAAAACACTTCTTCAGTTGTCATCCAAGCATTGTGTTATACTGCACTGCAGTCTCTACTCAACATACACCAGATGCATTTATGAGGACATATAGAAGAGGACAACTCAGAGCATGTCTCACATGGGGAAGCAAGTGGGAGGGTGACTAGGGAACAGTTTTCTCATCTTAAAAGCTCTAAGAAAATCTGGGATTCTAAGGCCGTTAATTCTCAAGACACTCATTACCACCGCAGGCTGACATAATACTCATTTGCTTCAAAGTTGTTTAAATAGTGCAGCAATTAAAATTTGTCAGTGCTCCAAAGCGAGAGTTAATGATGAAGAAATACTGAGGGCTTTGCAATTTCTCCATCCCAAAGATCTTAGTAAGAAGCTAGCTTTGCTACAAACATTGTAAATGGTTCTCATGGTCCAGCAATAAAAAGACTTAACACTAAACAGAAAGCTGAGAAAGGGAGGAAAAGGGAGAGAGGACAAGCAAAAAAGATTATTCCAAGTGTCCCAGGAGACCTGCGGAAAACACAAGCAGACAATGGTTTCAAAGTCTAAATTTTCAAGAAAAACACTTTTTGGAAGAAACTGCAATACATACCCCAGAAGCTGACAACAGAAGATCAGGATAGTTGGGTACTACAAATATTCTGCTTACAAACCTAAAGGGAAAGAAGTCAAATACTGAACTCTCTCTTCCATAACACTCAGGTCTTTTAAAACACACTAAGAGAAAACACCAATTTCAAAGAAAATCTTACAATAAAAAAAAAACAACCAGCTTCTCCAAATAAAGCCAGTTAAGAGGAGAAAAAGGGTATGCCTACAGTACATTATATACATTATAAGAACTTCATAAGTATTTTCCCACCTGCTCTCAACACTTCTCTAACTTCTTCCCAGCTGAGAGCATTACTACTGTGACCAAAAAGAATGCTAGTGTAGACAGATTTACTCAGGTAGATCTCTCCCTTTTCTCAATTCATGCTGCCCACTTAAACCACTTATCAACAGATGCTTTTAATACACATCAACAGCGATGACTCAGCTTTCATCTACAACACCTCTCCCATCACAGTTGGAGATCATTCAAAACCAATCTTTACAAAGTTCTGAAACAAGTCTGTGACAATTTACCACCAGTGTCTACATTCAGCCAGAATCCTTGTCTTCCAGAAGTATTTAATATTGCTACATCTACTTTGACTCATCTCTGGTGGACAACAAGGACCTGAACTTCTGAAGTTTATTATTATCTTACAGCTCAGCAGTATAAAATGCAATGCCTTGAGTGGGACTGTCTTGCTTTTGAAAACAGGCACAAATTTAAGACTATTAAAACAACAAGGAAAAAAAAAAAAAAAAAAAAAAAAAAAAAGGGAGAGAGAGATTTGGTCACTGTAATGGCAAACTTTCATGACAAAGCAGTAACAGCAGGTGCATGAAGGTGTAATAGAACAAGAATCACCATGCAGCCCCCCAAAAGAAAAACCAGGACCATGAAACCAGATCCATGAATTACAGCTGCTTTCTGCAGTCCTCTGCTTATCCATTCCTTAGAGACTGAATTTTTGCATATATTTCAAGCAATTTACATTAAGTGCCTTTCCTCTACACAGCCATTAGTGAACTCTCTGCACAGGCACAGTAGCCCCGGTTTAAAACTGCCTTCTGGGGCACCAGGTTCTATTCATTAGGAAGTAGAACTGTGCACAAAGCAGGCGGAAGTGCAGATATGGCTGTGTAAATATGCTATAGAAATTATCTGATATCAAAGACTACACTTTAACATATGTACTTTGGAGGTTTCATACTATTCTGGGTCTATACAGGCTAGATTATCAAATTGAGATAAAAAAAAAAAAATCAGACAGGCACTCCAAATTAACACAACCTAGATGCTCTGTTGAAATTCTTAGCTGGGTAAGTTCAGATAGGTTGCTCCCACGCCTCAAGTTCCAAAGTCACACTGTCTTACTTTAACTCTTGCTCCCAATACAGCAAGCTGACTGCACCATGTCGTGTCACCTTATGAACATGCCTGGAAGGCTGTAGTTACCCTCAATTAAGTCCATAGCCAGCCAAAGAGAACTAAGCATGTTCTGTGACCTGTGCAGGATGACATCTCCTTTGTTACCCTATCACTATGGTCTTCAAAATGTACTAATGGCTAAGGAAAATAAAATCATAAAATCATAAAATCACAAAATCACCAAGGTTGGAAAAGACCTCCAAGATCATCTAGTCCAACCATTCACCCTCCACCAATATTTCTCCACTAAACCACGTTGCCTAGTATAATATCTAAACGTTTCTTGAACACCTCCAGGGACGGTGACTCAATCACCTCCTTGAGCAAGTTCAGTATCCCCCAACAACAAAAAAAACTCCTTAAAAGCCCACAAAACCAGAGATGGAAGGCAAACAGAAAATAGCGCAGACATTTTACAAAGCAAAGTGTAGACATGGGAATCTTTTAAAGTCTGTTTGCCATTTGAGTCTTCTTAATGAGAGAAGAACTACTGAGAAGAGAAGATACAGTCCCTCCTGCAGGCTAGTACTGCTATACCAGCTAGAAGACATCCCTTACTAGTCTCGTAGCAGGTCACATTTTAGATCATGGCAGCATCCTCCTACAAGGATATCCCCTAGGACACATCCACATATCCTTCTATTTGTCTAAATGTTCTTACCCACAGCAAAAGAACAGTTTCAAGAAAAACACTAAGTCCCTTTGCTCAGCTACCAGAAAGACCAGAAAACTACATTAACAAGTGTGATTCCAGGATTCTGTATTACAAGACTGCTTTACAGTCCCTAGCTCACTGTAGTCTAATGTTTAATGAAAGAGTGCTCTATCCTTCCCATCAATACAGCTGTATTTTAAACACACAAAAAAAAAACTACCACAGCTTGTATTACCACAGAACTTTCAAGTCTGATCTCCTAAGATGCCATTAGATGAATATCTGTTCAAACAAGACACTCCCTTCCTAAGACTAAGACTGTCTTGAGCTAACAATCTCCAAACTTTGCAGTCTTGGTAACCTAGACCTGGCTGACATTTAATATAATTTGGGCAGACAAGCACTTCATTTGTTCAGGCACACTGAAGAACTGAGCGCAAGGAACTTACTCTTCATGTCCCAGGCAATAAGATACAATGTTGTAAGGAGCCTTAGTCAAACTGACTCTGATCTTCTCATCTCTATCTGCAGTGAGGATATACCGGTCATCGGGACTCAGTGCCTGTTGGTAAAGCGGCAGTTTTAGAATCCAGTAGTCCAACGTTTGTTTCAACACACTTTTCCCAACCAGTGAAAGACAGAAGCAGTAGACTACCTCATTCTCTTGAGGCTGAATAGCAAGTGCAAGCATTAAGCCACACACTTTCATCTACGATTGATGCATAAATTTTTATGAGAGCAACTTGCTTGCTTACTAAGACAAGTAGCACAGACCACTAAGTCCAGTAAAATCCGCTGAATTGAAAGCACTACAGCACAAGTTCCACTGCATCTTCAAAGAAAGAAACTTATCACACTGAAGAGCTAAACTGATATGACAGACTGGGTGAATTCCCTTAAGCCTCTTCATCTCCAAGTCTTCTGTGACTGTAACACAAATAATTTTTGAACGGTCATGTATCCAGCTAGATAAACCCACATGCTTGCTTCTTTTCCAAAATCACCATTCAGACAAACTCAGCAGGAAGAATTTCAGGCCATGTATGTCATCTATGCCTAAAGGAGGCTGATGCTCTTTTGCAAAGAAAACTACCTCAAGTTGAGAGAAGAGCAACAATTAAAGACCTGAGTACAAGTTTAAGGCCTTGAGGAATCAGACAATAGGACTTGATGAACTTTGTAGGCCCCTTCCAATTGAACTGTTTTGTTATATTGTACGAAGGAATGAGAGTTTGCACACTAAGTGCACAGAGGGATGTGCTTACCGCATCCAGTAGCATGGACAAGTGACCCAGTTCAAATTTGCCCTCTGCTTGTGGTTCTGTAATTGAGTACGAATAGACATCACCAGATTTGTCTGCCACCAGAATCTTATCCTCTGCAGCTGTAATAACGAGTGAAGTGCATCTCCTATTCACAGGCCTGAAAGAAAAATAGCTGTGCTTTAAAGAAAGTCTACTGGATTTTCTTGTATTCTCTATAAGACAAATCCAATCCAGGCACATGGAAAAAAAGAAAGAAAGGTAGAAGCTCTTAGCTCCTACTTTGCAACCACACATTAAAAACTGCCTTGAAGTCATTTCTCCAGTAGTTACTCTGTATTGTACAGCAAAGTCCTCTGTGAGCCTTACAGCAACTTCTTCCTCATATAGAGTCAGAGAGATATAGTCCCAAGGCTTCTTGTCCAGGCAAAACCCTGAAATGGAACTTGGATTCTCCCAAATCACCTGCCAGCATTTTATAGCTCCAGCTGCCAGTTTGTTTTTTTCACAACTTTTCAAGTAAATTTAAGGGCGACATATACCAGAAAAACAAGTATTAAAATAGGTTTAATCACTTAAGAATGCTTCTGCAAATTAACAGCCATTGCTATTACTACTATTCTTCCATTTTCAAAGCACCTCTTTTCCTGGTCTATGTCCTGAATGAGCATATGCAGACAGGGGCGATCATAGGAAGTGGGCATTTCTATTCACATACTCTGAAGCCCAGCGACCTCTAGAGGCAAAAGAACAACACATTACGCTTCCCAAAGACTGACGAAAGTTTTCATATTCTTAGTGACTGTGAATAGCACAACCCATAGGACATGAATGCCTACTAACAAACACACTGCAGCACATTTTCAAAATAGGATACCTTGCCATCAAGGAAATCTTATTTCAAGTTTGGCTGTACTGCCTTTGATCTTAGACTCAGAAGTTCCTTGTCTGACACAAGCTTATGTATTACAAAAGCTAGCACTATGTGAAACCTTTAATACAGCTTGCCACAAAAACCACCACAAGTTACATAACTCAGCCTTGGCAACCTATTTTTCCATGCAGAGATCCTTTTGACTCTATTTCCAGTTTCCTAACAGGAGGAGGAACAGCACAAAATTTCCATCTGTGATCTTAGCTGACCTTCTGGTTGAAAACTAAAAATGTCTAACAATTATCCAGTGGCATCTTACAGGCAGAACAGGACAGGACAGCAAGGAAATGAGAACACAGAGTGAATAGAATTTGTCATTTCTGATTTTGTCAGCAATTACTCACTGCACCACTGATTAACCCAACATGGTTAACCCAGAGGCCCATCATGTATAACACACACACAGGTAAGCTGAGAAGAGCTCATTTTGGTTTTGCACTTGTCAAGATCACCAGAGGCAGTGTCCTAACACAATGAGTTACCTTCTCAGGAAGTCCTTCACAGAACCCTTTTTTTCACAGAGGATTGTCATAAGCAGCAATGAAAAACTTGTAACTGGAGGACCTCTGGTGGACAGCTGAAGACAGTTTTCAGAAGAGAACTGTACTACAGATAGGAAACATCAGTATTGCTAAAGATACTTTTTTCAGACAGAGTTCACAAACTCCCTAGAAAATCTTCTCCAATCAACAGAAGCAGACAGCATGTTCACTAACCTGCTCACTGTCACTCTTAAAGGCTCAACCTTAGCACTCTCCAGGAGAAGGTAAAGTCCCAGTTCTTAAAGATGGAAATACTGTCTTTTGGAATAAACAAAGTGATTACCCTTTTGCCAGGCAACATAAACATCTGCACTTCCACTCTCAGTGTGGGATGTACCACACACCACTTCTTGATACCACACAACAATCTGTGAATTCCCAAAAACATTAACTTTAAGTACTAGGGGGGAAAAAAAAAAAAAAAAAAAAAAAAAAAAGAGGAAGCTTAGCAACAAGAAATGGCTGCAGCACAAGTCCTACTATATTATAACTCTATCTTAATCATCCATAGCTCAACTACAAACAGAAAAGTAAAATCCTGCTTCCTTACCTGATGCTAACGCATTCCCAAGAGGGCTTAGTCCGAAATAGAATCAGCTGTTTGTTGTCATCTGTCAAGACAAAATAATCTCCTGATGGGGAGAAGGCAAAAGCTAGGATGTTATCACTTCCTTTGTCTGCTGGTTGTCCATCCTGTCTAATAGAGAGAAGGGAAAAGAAAAAAAAAAAAAAGAGTTCACAACCTGAAATTCTCCAGAGAAGGTTGTTCTCACACCACCATCAAGAAGGAATACAAAGAAGAAAGTACAATGCTAGAAGTCATGTTTGAGCTTAAAATGTTAAGCTAATTTGAACGTTAAGGCAAAACTACAGGGACTCTCCTTGCCCACAAAATCTTTTCAAAGATGCTTTCAGGTGTGTTTCAGATACATGATGGCCTAACTTAGAACTTAACAATGTCAATTTAAAAAAAAACAATAATGAGCCACAGCTAATATTTTACATGAAGACCTGCAAAGGCACACCACACAAATAACAGAATAACTCAGTTCAGAAGTGCACTACAATTTAAGTCAAATTACAGCAAGCTGCTCAGGTTCTGTGCAGTGAAATCTCAAAATATGTCCAAGAATGGAGACTCTACAACCTCTGTGTGTCCTGCTAAAATGTTTAAACACTCCTACAGTGAAAAAGTTTTCCCCTTGTGCCTTGTACTGACCTTCTGTTCAGACACAACAAGCTCATCTTCTTTGTACTCACCAAGGTAATAATAAATAAGATAAACCTTTCTTCTCAACTCAAGAGGTTGGAATTTAAACAACCAGGAATAAATGCACAGCTTTTAAGACACATCTCCATTTCACGATACGGGACAGTGCACAGAGCTGATGGTTGCAATGACTAAACCCTGAATCACAATCACCATGTGAGAAATTACCCTTTATTCAAACCAATCAGTACAAACAAGACACAGAACTTTGCTGTACTCAAATTCAGACAGGAATCCTGGTTTTCATACTGCTTATTTCTGGGTGGTGCACAGTACAGGAACCTCCACATAAATTCATAAGAAGATAGCACTCAAAGTGTATGGTTATAGACAATAATTTATTTAATACTTAGAGCATTTTTAAAATATTTAACAGCTTTTATAATCAGGAGGCAAGTTTTACATTTCTTTTTTCTCTGTGGTGGGAAAGAAAAAGCACAAGAAGAAGGAAACTGATGTAAGGCCAAGGCTTTGCCATTCTTTCCTTTAAAAGTACTAGGGTTCAAGCTAGCATATCTTCATACACTTTGAAGGAAAAACAGGAAAATTGGTTATGGATATAACAATGGCAAGTGGTTGAATTTAAATTAAGACCTCTTCATCTGTTTGAAATCTCCTAACTTACAGAACAGACTCAAAGGAAGTTATATGTGTGCAGCAATAGAACAAGGGGCAATGGGCAGAAACTGGGACACAGGAAGTCTCATACTAGCAGAAGGAAGAACAAACTCAAACAGGATGCCCAGAGAGGTTCTGGAGTCTCCTCTGAAGATATTCAAGACCCACCCGGATGCTTTTCTGTGCAAACTGCTATAGGGAAGCTGCTTTCAGCAGGGAGGATTGGGTTGGATAATCTCTAGAGGTCCCTTCCAACCCCTACAGTTCTGTGATTCTGTGAAGACTGTGCCAATTTGGTTGGGTTTTTTTGTATTGTTTTGTTTTCCTTTCTTAGTTGCTCTAATCAAAGATACAGCATTTTTTCTGAGATGAAACTAAAATATATATATACATTGACATATATCACAGAATCACAGAATTGCAGGGGTCGGAAGGGACCTCAAAAGATCACTGAGTCCAACCTCCAGCTAGAATGGGTACCCTACAGTAGGTCACACATCTAGGTAACATCTAGACAGATCTTGAATATCTCCATAGAAGGAGACTCCACAAACTCCCTGGGCAGCCTGTTCCAGTGCTCTGTCATCCATACTGTAAAGAAGTTCTTCCGCATGTTAGTATGGAACTTCCTCAAGTTTTACTCCTTGTCCTATCACTACAAGCCACCAAGAAGAGCCTGGCCTCATCCATTTGCCTCCCACCTCCCTTTAGATATTTATAAATGTTTATTAGACACCCTCTCAGTCGTCTTCTCTCCAGGCAGAACAGACCCGTGATACTCAGCCTTTCCCTCATAAGGAGATGCTCCAGGCTTTTCTAATCTTGGCAGCCCTTCACTGGACTCCTCCTTGGAGATCCCTGTTTTTTTTTTTAAACTGGGGAGCCCAAAACTTGGCATAGTACGCTGAATGTGGTCTCACCAAGGCAGAGTAGAGGGGGAGGATCACCTCCCTCAACCTGCTGGCCAAACTCTTTCAATGCACCCCATGATACCACTGGCCTTCTTGGCCACAAAGGTGCACTGGTGGCTCATGGCCAACCTGTGGTCCACCAGGACATCCAGGTCCTTCTTTGCAGAGCTCCTCTGCAGATGATCATCCCCTAACCTGTACTGAGGCATGTGGTTATTCCTTCCCAGTTGCAAGACTCTACATATCCATCAGGGTTAGCAATGAGCATCTGGCCATCACCTATTCAAGGAGAAATCTCAAGGGTTTATTACCTTGACAGTCACATAACCTCAGGGACAGATGCACCATCAAGGAAAACACCATATATCTACACTTATTTTCTCACCCTTTATTTCCTAAGGCCTTCTTTTCCACATTGGCACAGTCATACACGAAGAGAGTATCATCCCTGCAAATAAAAACAACAGAAAACAACACCAGAGTAAAACTGCAGGAAGTGCAATAAACACGACTTTAACCACAGAGCATGTCAACTCTTCCAGAACATCTTTTGCCATTATAAGCTCAGCTGATCCCTGCCCACTGCGAGCAGGGCTGCCCCCCACCAGCTCAGGCTGCTCAGGGCTCCATCCAACCTGGCCTTGAGCCTCCAGGGATGAGGCACCACAGCTTCTCTAGGCAGCTGTGCCAGCGCCTCACCGCCCTCTGAGGGAAGAATAGGGAAGAATTCCTAACTTATAACTATGCTAAATATCCTCTCTCTGTCTCTTTAAAGTCAGTCCCCCTCGTCGTGTTGCTACACTCTGAGAGTCCCTTCCCAAGGAGCCAAGCCGGAGGGCAACCCCACTCCACCCGGCACGCACTAACCTCTCCTCCCCTCTCCGCGCTACCAGCAGCCGGCTCCCACCGCCGACGGCCATCAACGTCCCGCGGAGCGCTAACGTCGGGCCGGGCCCGGAGCTACGTCCTAATCCGCCCTCC